ACCTCACTTCTTGCATCTGAAGAAGTGATGTTCTTACCCATGAAAGCTTATGCTCCCAGTACTTCTGTTAGTCTCAAAGGTGCCACAGGACCCTCTGTTGCTTTTTACAGATTCAGACTAACACGGCTGCCCCTCTGATACTTTACCAAAAATGTTAATTGTTCAAAATATAAGAGGTGTTCTGCTGTGAATCTCCACTCTTGTCCCCTGAGTAATAGGTGGAAATCTTAAACTTATTGAAAATGAGGCTAGTCCCTTTGCTTCTTTCAAATTGGAAAGTAAAGTCATTCTGGAAAGTATTTAAAGTGAGTGAGAGGTCCTGTGGCCATAAAAACTGACATTTCACTTAGCCACTAACAACTAAATTTCAATGTTTCTTGTTCGTTTGTTCAACTTGAAAGCACATGCAAGTTTATGCGAAGGGAAAGTGCTCATCTAGAACAATGTAGACTTTAGACTGGCAGACTGACAGCAGTGGTCCTCTCCCACAGGAGTGAAGCTTCAAACTGAGAGCCAACTGGGATACTCTGGAGTTGGACAGTAATTGTATTTTGAATTAAAGATATTTTGCAGCCTTTGATGGATCCTTTGAGAGTCAGGAGTAGTGACATGATGACTTTCTTCTTCCAGGATATTATTGTGTAATCAAGTCCCAAGATTGAGGGATGGTGGGACAATTCTTTAGAAGAAACTACGCTGTTTTCTAATAGTGGGAGTTCTTGCTGTTGTCACTAGAAGAACTCACTGTTCTATCTCAGTTGAATTGAGGGTGTTTTCAGCAAACATATATTTGAAAACGTTCACTCTAGCAGGCTACCCATGTTACTTTCTGCCAAAGATGAGTGGTCTGAATCTGTAGTAGCACTAAATCAAATGCTGTGACTTTCAAATGGAGTCTTCATTAGCACCACCACAGAACGCCCATGGCAGCGGCTTCAAAGCTCAGAGAAAACAAAACGGTAGTTGTAAGGGACATCAGTGTAAACTGGACATGATTGGAATGAATTAGATGGGTGTGAACTATGATGATATATAAGATACAGCTGTTTGCCATGCAAGTGGGAGATGGCCTTGTCTTGAGGCAGCATGGGTAATGAAACTTGGCTGTTTTCTGGTTCTTAAATATACGTACAAGGATCCAAGACATGGGATCTGTATAAAAACTGCAGTTAGTTTCCAACCTATGTTCATTGTGATGACACTTTCCCTGTGTGCTTGGTTTGAAATCATGGTAACTCAAACAAGATTCAGCTAGAACTAGTTGGAAGGAATTCTGAATATAAAATTAAATGACAGAACATGGTAAAAACTCAAATTTTATTTCTGTTTGTAAGCTGATGATTACTTTATCTTAAAATGCTACTGAACCTGATCTTACAGAGGCAAAACTTGCATTGAAGTTCACTGGGAGTTTTGCTTGCAAAAGGACTTGGGGGCTTGGATTATGCTAAAACTTTGATAAATACCTTTTATGAAGTCCCAAAAAGGAAGCAATTGTCTGCATGTGGTTGGTATCAAATCGTGACACTATTAAAGATGCTTTTGCATGGAATATCTTTCTTACCCTTTAAAACACCTTTGGGTTTAAGCTAACAATTATGGAGGCTGTTCAGTTTCTCCTCCCCCCCCCCCCCAACCTGGGTGAAGCCTTGTGATAGAATATAGTCTATTAGCACTTGCCCTGTTTTTGTCCTGTACAGCGGAGAACGAGGTGCTAAATTTCCTTTTGTTGATCCCACTTTGTGTGTCTCATTGCTTTCAGCGTTGGCTCTGGACATTACACAGCCTATGCAACTCATGAAGGTCGCTGGTTCCATTTCAATGACAGTACTGTAACTCTGACCGACGAGGAGACCGTGGTAAAGGCAAAGGCCTACATCCTCTTCTATGTGGACCGGCAGGCCAAATCTGGATCTGATAAACTTTAATACCTCCTTTTAATACTCACTTATCAAGTCCTTCGGACAAAACATTTCCAATTCTCCATAAATACTTGATCCAAGACTATTAATTTCATTGTGCACTTTTCAACTTCCTCGTGTGGGTTTTAGTTTTGTTGTGTCAATGGTAGCAGTTGATTTATTGAACTTGGACACAAACTAACTTTTTTTTTTTTAGTTCTACCAGAAAACCTCAGCAGATATTTTGATTTGCTGCTTTAGTTGTGATAACTCAATTTTTATATATATAGTTTCATGAACTACTTAGTTATTTGATTTTTATATTAATGTTTTCAGTTCTCACTTTCTAAAGGCACATTTACATCAGAGAAGCTTTGTATCCTCTTTATAAGCAAGAGAAATGTGTTCCTGATTATGAAGAGCAATAGAATTTCATGCTGCTCTCACAGCTGTTATGTAGATAAGATTGAATCACTTTTAAATCAAGGAATTGCTTGCACATACTGTTTGCCCCAGTGCAAGAAACTTAACAGTGACCTCTGAACAATCACTCTTTGCCTGCAGAAGAGATGAGATGTGGCATCATTAAGTAGACTGGGTAATTGCTGCTATCAGTGTGTATCAAGGCTGCTTTCAGGACTCCTTGTAAATAAATAGTTGATTCAGTTGTATTTGTACTGCAAATTCAAATGTTTCTCATTTGTACTTTTTCCCCTACAAAAGAGACATTTAAATTATTACCCTAATCATATACGTGTCTTTATACGTGTCTTGGGATTTTAATTTACTTTTTTTAAACTGAAATGGAATTGCTAGGGTGATGTCTCAATTTTTAGCATTTATCCCAAAGTTTGATAGCAAGCACTTGCTTTTGAAGCTAGCAGGCTCCATGGAATTGGGCCACTGTCCCTTTTATATCCTAAAATGAGAGTTCAATGTGGGGGCTTCACACAGGAGAGGTTTTTGTCTCAATATAACTCCCATTTGCCCACATCCCCTTTCAGCTTGATTAAAAACCACCAGTATCTGTTTAGGACTGAAAGGCAGGTTTGTCATGGGTTTGGAGATAGACTTTGCATGGCATGTTGTTATACCTAATCCAGACTCAGGCTCAAACTGGTAGGAAAGGTGTATTCAAATCTATACGCAGGGATATTACAGTTCATGCAAATTGTGGAGCTAACACTGCCCCTTTAGGTGAGCATATACCCTCACTAACTGCAGTATTTAATTAGTAGTTCAACATTTCTCATGGTCTCTTGACCAAAAGAGGCCAGATATTATTTCTGAAGTTGAAATGTAAGACATCTGTTTATATTAAACCTCTTATCAGCTTAATGGAAGAAGAATTCAGTGTTAGCAGCTGGAATTTCAGCTGTTCTGGTACTGCTGAGAGAGAAGAGCCCAGTATAGATTGAATGACACTGAACTCAGCTTTCCCTTCTCCTCTGTTTGCCTACTGCCTTTCTCCACACTCCCATAAGCTCAAAAGTTTGTGGGAAGGCTGGAGCTCTCTGCCTGCCAAGTCAGCTAGCCCACCAGACTCCTCTTACTCGTAATATATTCCCAGACAGGTGTGTTTATATTTAACTGAGTAAAAACATCTGCCTTCCCCTGGTTGCATCTCCTTGAAGGGCCATGTTAGTCAGCAGGTAGATGTAGGATGCATTTCAGTATTAGTTGACTAAGCACCAGCACTCCTGACTGGGGGGAACCTGATAATTGCAAAAAAAAAAAAGTTTTAATTACCTGTTTGATCCGTCTCAGATATCATTTAAAAAGTAATTGGCTTTGTATAAAACTGCAGAAATATTCAATATTGCTAAATTGTGTATGAAAATATGTAAACTATACACTTAATAGTGACTATCACTTGATATGTTAAGTGGCAGATATGCCAGGATGTCTTTATTTTGTTGTTGAACAATAAATAGATTATTCATTGCTTCAAACTGTAGCCCTCAGCTTGTTAACTACTGTTTTCGGACCTTTGCAGCTAGAGCCTATGTTCTGATCAGAACCAGCAGCTGTTATCACATTTAAACACAATAAAAAGGTAATTGGCAGAATTCATTATTATTTTTTCACCACTAACTGATGGCAATTCAGGATGTAATTTTGGGGATTAAACCTTAGGCCACTGGCAGTTGAGCCAGTGCTATATGCTACTTAAATTGCTCTAGAATTTAATAGATGTGTTCAGAAATACAATCATGACATGATCTGGTCAATTTATTTAACTTGCAGTGAATTTAGTGCATATTGTTCAGCTACCCAGTGATGTAAATGTGCCTTTCTGTATTTTTAGGAACTTGTTTGTAAACTTCATCAACATTATTCCCTTTATTTTAAAGGCGACTGTTTCTGTCTTGAGTCATCAACTTTTTTGCCCAATTATTGTCTTACACTTTTCCTCTCAATACCATTTTCCATATATCATAAGTGAATTGTCTTAGCCAATGGCATACATCATATTCTGTTTAGGACATGGCCATCAGAACACCATGCAGTTGTCATAGTTTGTTCTTGAAGCAGTTTCCGATACAACTCAGCCATATGCGTCTATGGGACAAGTACACTGTAAATCCTTTCCTAATGTAGCTTACTCCCACTGCAAACACAGATGGACAGTATAAACAATTTTTTGTGGCAACACAAGTATTTCTCTTCCTGGTGGAGAACTTTCCTTATCCACTGTATTCTAGTCAGTGTCGTCCCTGCCCCCCCCCCCCCCCCCCAAAAAAAAAAAAAAGGCAACTGAGCACTAAACCAGTACCCTATACTGCACCTGGCTTAGTATTAGATTTTTAACCTTACTTATATATCCTATATTTATCTACTTTTTTTGAGCAGGGTCGGGAAAAGGACATTTTAAGCCCAATCTGTTTCTTTTCTGTTATTCACTGCTGGTCTGATTTGCTTTCTGCAAGCACATGGTTTTTGCAGTTCAAGAACTTGGTCAGTATTCTACACCAAAAGAAAAAGGTTGTCTGGGTGTGGTGTTCATTGTTTAAAGTCGCGTCTACAACTGGAGATGCAGTTTATGTAAAACAAAATGGGGGAATTCCCAGTTGTTCAGTCCTGCTTCAGCAGATTGCATGGTGATTGATCCCATACAGTATGGTGGTGAGCTCCTACAAGGAGTACATTCAGAAGGTGCTTTTCCTAGTGATCACTGATGTCATGTGGAGTGAGTTTAAATCTTTTTCTTGATGGTGCAGGGCAGTGTGGACCTGTATCAAAAGCAGAAAGCCATTTGTAAGATGGATGGAAAGCATGAGACTTGTTCAAAAGTTTGCCTAATGCTGTTTCATTACTGATGTGTCTGTGTCTTACTAATGAGGTAATCAGCACCTTGAAAACTCGTTCCATTGTGTTTTAGAATATCAAGTACTGTAGTGCCATAGATGTAATTGTTTACCATGAATGTGTAAGTTTCTGTGGGGACCACTGACTGTGCATTAATGGGGTGAATGCAAGTAACAACTCAATCATAAAATGTTTTTATGGAAAATGTGCCATTAAAGGCTCTATTTAGAATGTGAAAAACTTCCTATCCTGCCCCAGGTTCTCAGCATATTACTACTTGGTGTGAGTAAAACTGCGTTTTAGAATCTTGTGCAGGGGCAATAGAATCAGCTTCTTTACCTCCGGAAAAATAGCTGATGACAAAAGCATTTTTTCAAAACTTCTTTAGATCCGTCTATTTGCTATTTAGCCTCTGACTTACTTGGGATCTGGCATGTTTACAGTGCACTTAACTTCCACCGGGCATATACATTTATACCAAAAGTAATACACCCTGTGCATAGCCCTGACCGTATACAGTTCTGCACAGAGTGATCACAAAAGCAAAAACAGCAGGTGCTGTTTGTTCACAAGTAAAAGCAGTGTGTGGGGCAACAATCCTCCCCCCTTTCCTTCACTACTGTTACTGTAAAACTACAGAATAGGTGGCAAAGATATCACAGCCTCTTGTTTTGAAATGCCTCTTACTAGTTACTGGGGAAAGACTCCTTCTCATCCACCCTGAGCAACTGCCTCATGCTATGAAACAGGAATTATATACAAAGGCCTATATACAAATACTTTAGCTTTACAATAGAAATTAACAATTCCGTGTGAAGAGGCCACTGTCACCCCCAAGTTGTTCCTTCCTCAAACTATTGTCTTTAATATACACACACAACAGGAAGCCCAGTGCATGAGGCACAATAACTGTTTGAGGCCTGGCCTATGCTAAAAGTTGTCACCCTCCCACAGCACTTATGTGAAAATTCCACACCCCTCCATGCCAACTTAACCCCAGATGTAGACAGCAGTAGTCGGATGAAGAGGGGGTGTAGACAAGGCTTAAGAACAGATTGAAATCCATAGCCTAAGTCTTGAAAGATCCTGACAGAAAGAGACAATTTCAAGGTGCCTCTAGGGAAAGAAGGAAGGTGTTAAATGCAACTAAGCTCAATTCAAAGTGTAACTGTAGCCATATTACTTATTTACTGATTGTACTCAAATCCCAGAAGTTATTAGTGCCTATTAAACCCCGTGCAAACTGACAATTTAGCTTTAGCATAGCTATGTTAGAGGAGAATAAGTAATTTATAATGGATTGAGATTCAGCTAGCTATGCAAAATTGCCATCTTTAGTATCAAACTCCACAATATATTTAGTTCTTTTCTATGGCCTTGCCACTGAAAACAGTCTTACCAGCTACCTGTTTTTCAAATTTCACTTCTCTCCTGTGAGCACTGCAGTAATTCAGGAGGACACTTTACAAAATCATGTGTTAGATTGGTCTCCACAAGAGGCTCAAAATGCCTTTGCTAACAAATTGTTGCTGGAAAAATATTGTAAATGGAAGTGGCACTACAAGGGCCTCCCAGTTAGTGATTGGTCATTGTGTCTCTGTTGAGTATCTTCCTTTCCAAATCCAACCATAGATATTATCTTCCCACAATTTTTTTGGTCAAGCCAACAGTGGCTTGGAGCTGGTGCCTGCTTAATTACCACCACATTTAGCAATGGTGCACTAATGAGTTAGACCATTTTTGCTGCAGCCCCCTCCACTATCAGAGATGTGCAGAACTGAGCCCCTTCTGATGGTAGAGCTGTTATTTTCATGCACCACTTTCTACCCTGCATGCAGATCCTTATGGGGGATAATGCATGAACAATGCTACCACATGTAGGCCTTTTCTCCATTGTTTCAGTAGCTAGGTGTTCACTTAGTGCTTTTGGAACAAAAAGGCTTGATAACTGACATAATGGCATCCAATTATTTGTGGGCAAACTCCAAGGAGGCAAAAAAATTAGCAGAAGTAATGTAAGGACATTTCTGATGACTAGCAGGAAAACCTTAACACAGCCTCATTCATTTTGTGCTGGGAAAGTCTCCTAAACGAAGCGGGAAGAGGCTCCAGTGCTGGATGTCTTTAAAAGCCAACTGGCCCATGTACTTATAAATACCCTGAAAGGAACAATCCTGCATCCAGAGAGACATAGAAGAAAAAATCCTATTACAATATCAACAGCTACAATTGTGTGTAATCACACTGATTCCCTCTGTTCCTCTTTTCAAATACCTTTTGTGCTATACAAGTGAAAAAGTTCTTGTTTAAAATCTACTTAAGTAAAGGCTGGGTCCCACCTTAGAGCGAGGGTGCTGTTGCTGCCTAGTACCAACTGCAAACCCAACCCCAGACATTTTGTTGTCAGAGATTAGACATCACCTAACTACCGCTTTATATTTTTCCAGTGCTTTTTTCCACTTTCAAACAGTCTACTTCTCCCATGCCGAGATCAAGGGCACTAGCAACAGCTTAAGCAGTTTAGTGGTGTTGATGAGCATAGGCTGAAGCCAGGCTGAGTAATTTATCCCATTACCTCACAAGGTACATTAATATTCATCTGTTAATTGCCACATACAAACCAAAGACAAAAAGCATAAAAATAGCAAGGAGGTATTATTCCATTAATGAGATGGAAAACAATCTAGACACTAGATTCATTAACTCAGGCAAAAATTGCTACAGTGTCTTTGGAAAGGGCTTAGTAAAGTTTTCTTTCTGTCATGGTTATAAAGATGGTAAAACTTTTTAACTTACTTATTTTAATGGAGACTAATAACAAGTGACTGGAGGTGTTCAGAACAATTTACTTACCCTATAACATGGCTAAATCACAAATTCTGTATCTTAAAATGCAATGTCTCAGCAGGAAAGTGGCTAACTCACCATCTTGAGAATGGCCAGCAGGACAGGCATGAACCTGAGAGAGAACTGCAGACATTTTCTGTAGTTCTCTTCAAGGTAAGTTTTACATCAGGGTCATGAATACATCCATGTAGGATACGTCATGTGGACTCCCTCTCTAAAAGCCCACTTTTGAGAACTGCTGTTCTGATCTTGCTGTGATAGGAGATATAACAATTACAACAGGCAATGGCATTTAATCATTAAAGTGGCAGCAAGCAGGGAATTACACTGGTGCTCAATTCAGGTAAATGGAAACCTTAAAACCCTTTGATGTATTTAAAGCTATCAATGTGCCGGTTTGGTTTAGAGCTTCACACTAAATACATGTTTCCAATCACTTAAGATTTGCTTGGCTCAAGTGTGTTTTACTATATGCTTATTGAACACCACATCTAGTTCAAGGTATTTTTAAAGCCCATCATCAATAATACATGACTTGATCCTTGGGCCTGTTAGGGTATAAGCAAGACCCCCTAGAATAGTCAGTATTTTCTAACAAGGCTAAAACAATAGTGTTGAGAATATCATGGTTTTCACCCAAAGCAGAGGCCTGCACAGCTTTTCCTTTGCAGCTGTGGCTACTAGGAGTTCATTTAAACTGCCTCAAGCCCTTTGCTAAACATCAGGATTGACAAAAGGAAAATAATTCCTTTTAAGGAAACATTTGATTTAACTCAATTGCTTCTTTTCTACTTGGCCAGTCCATTCCCCTGGACGAGAAATGGAGCAACAGCCTGGTGCACGTGGGACTCTGAGCTGCTTTCCTTTTTTTTTTTTAAACTTCCTGCACCAGTTGTTGGCCAAAAATAAACACCATTCCACAACCTTATATGTTCAACAGCCCAGTGGTGATTCTGAGGCTGGTCAGGCCCCTCCAGTATTGCTGTTAGTCCACCCTGCCAGAATATACGATCCTCTTTCCTAAGAGCACGGCTCTGCACTGGGTATGCATATAACCCAGCTTAATCGGGAATGCCTTTTGCACCTATTTTCTTTCCTGGACAAAAACAGTAGAAAGAGTTTAGCCAAGACATGTCACAAATTGCTAGAAGTGTTTCAGGATCCTTTTCTGTGGCCTGTACTGAATTTCCATTCTCCTGTGGAACTAAAGAAGGATAATTTTCTCTTGGGACCAGCTTTAAGGTACCTGTCCATCTGCTGGCATTCAAGCAGAGTCAAGGTGTGTAACATTGAGGACTGGATGAAAAACACATTCCAGAAAGACATCTGTCGTAAGCATGAAAATGCTGTCAATGATTTTTTAATACAAGTTTGCAACAGGTATGTTCTTGGGGTGTGAAATTTTACATCTAATGTAAAGTTTAAGGTCATTAAATTGAAAGCATTGAAGCTTTTAACTGTTTACACATCCTTTCTGGAACAGAACACTAAATACCAAAACATTTTGGCTTTGGAGCACCATTATTTAGTTTTAGCATCACATAAGAAATTGGTTTTAGTGAAAATGTAGTGCATTTTTCTGTTGAATTTTACTGGGCTTCCCTCAGCCCTCATTTGCTTGACAAATGCATGTGACATTCCCAGGGTATTAGTGACAATGCATGCTAAAAAAATGTGACTAAGGAACTATTTAATAACACCATTCTGCGCAGGACAAAAATATCCTCAGAAATGGAGCAAGAGATTGAATCTCTAAGAGAGGGGGATTCTTTTTTATGAATAAAACTGGCATCTCCCTAAACATGTTGGTAAGCTCAAATTCCACTTTTCCTCACAAGTAACAGGCAGATACATGTGAAGGTCGAATGGATCTAAGGTTTACATCATTTTATTCTGTGTTAGAGCAGCCTAACTTTATTTCTCTGTAAAATGATGATGCCCATGTTATCTATGCTGAGGTTGAGTGATTATAAATATATTTCTGAGCTTTATATAAACTACTTTGGAGGTCAGACAGACAAGGAGACAGTACAGTGAGGAAAAGCAGACGTCAGTGCAAACCAACTGCACCAGCAGCTTTGAGCTGTGCTAGCTAAAGTAAATTACAAAGACAAAAGCTAACACCAATCAAAAGAGCAAACGAGGCGGAGGCACAGCCATTTCTTGTACAATTTAGCAACAACAGAAAATTGCTGCTGCTAGATTAGATCTGGAATTAAAAACTAAGATTTCTACCACCTGCACCTTAAACTGTGTGCTTATGCTGCAGAGTCTGCAGTTCTAAGTGACCAATGGGACAAGAAAGAGAACGTGAGAGCTAGAAATACTTTAATATTTGCGGCCTTTTAGCTTGCACTAGTTCTGAATTTGTATTGTATATAAACACCTGTTGGCCAAGTGCAAAAGATGGTCAGAGCAACAGGGAATCAAATGGATGACGGTAGTCTAGACTGATTACTTTTTTTTTTTTCTTCGCAGAGGCAGGCAGAGTTGGAAATGGTGGCTCTCTTCAAGCCATGTATATCTAAGGCTGTACCTGTATCACAAAAGTGACTGTGATAGAACTAGTTTTAAAGAAAAGTTTCCAGTTATTTGGTTTTAATTAGCAAAATGATTGTTGAGAATGGGAGCGGGAAATGGTGCGGGTGTGTATTCTTCAATTCCAGAGATTCCAACAGCATCCACTTTGGCTGCAGAATTGCATATCAATCCCATAAGAAGTTGCATTAAGCACTTCTGTAGTCAGATTCCATCCAAACAATCCTATAGGAGCTCCATCTCAAAACTGATTTAGTTGAATAAATTAGATAGTAAAACCAGTGCTTTTAAAACTGCTTCCCCGAGGAAGCTGTCAAAAATCATTTCGGATGGAAGGGTTGTATGTCTGCAAAGAGGCCAGATCTCCCATCAACTTCTGATCCTGAAGCTACCAGTCCGGCCAGTTTTTACATACATTTAGCACAAGTCACTCTCGAGCTAATAGCAGGGAAACAGGAACAATGACACTGATCCTTTTTGTTAGCATTTGGCACAAGTGTCCTCATAAGATTCTGCATGTGACTCTGGGCAGAGTTTAAATGAAACTTATTAGGAGAGTGGACTCCATACATCTAGTTATTAGACCTTGACTTTTATCTGTTATGCAGTAGTTTAAAAGCAAAAGTACTCTGTGCTCCTTTCCTCCCTTTGTGGAGTGTGTGTTAATATGTGCAGGTGGTTCAATATTGTGGCTACTGGAGAGGATAACTGATGTGTACATATTAAGTAAAACCAAGCAGTTTTGATCAAATCTAATGAATTACTCAGTTAAGTTGGCCCCAACTTAATATCAGTCCATATTTATCCCTGCTCCTTAATTCTGGGGGATGACCATTTCTCTCTCTAAGTTGCAGTCACAATACTTATCTTCCAGGAAGGGCCAAGCCAGCTCCTTCACTCTTGCTATTATCAGAGCAGGTATCCATTAAAATCTCTGCCCAGGACCTGATGCTGGAATTCCCTAATGTGCGAGGGCACTAGGAGCAGGGTTCAGAGGTTGTTGTTGACCTGAATAGATGGGCCGACGCAGAGAGAAGTCAAGTGACTTCTGTGAGGTCGCCCAGCAAGTCAGTGGTAGATTCAGGATTTATAACCCAAATGTCTTGTTTCCCAGACCATTGCTGGAAGAGCTTGCTTTGCATTGCTTTTCAGAACTTGATTTTGGGAATCTTTAAGTGGGAATTGCTTTTGCGGATTCTACACATTATTCTTCTGTCTCACATACAATGACCATGTTTTCAGGTGCCCAAACTTGCTGTCCCTGACCCTTTCTGGATGTGGCCATGTCACAGATGATTACCTGTTGTTGCTTCTCAAGAGCTGCCCAAACCTCAAGATACTTAAACTGGAAAACTGTGTGCGGATCACTGACCGGACTCTGGAAGCTGTGACCCTCTATGGGACCTCTTTACAAACCCTCCATGTGGATTTCTGCCGGAACATAACTCAGTCTGGTCTGGAGACAGTCCAGGAAAAATGTCCTTCAGTAATGCTGAAAGCAGAGAGAAGTGCAGACATGATTCCAGACCACGACCCAGGGGAAAAATTAATGCTTGAAAGAGCAGTGAGAAAACTGGTACTGCACTAAGAGGGACCGATTCCAGAAATTCACTATATGTGAAGAGAGACTGACGTTTTGAGGTTCCACCCACTTTGTAATTAAGCCTATCTATATGCATATTGGCTTTGTTTATAAAATAATATTTTATAAATTTCACAAATACTCCCATTTCACCTGGGTAAGGAGTTTACCTTGATGGTGATTGTCTGATATCACTGGTCCTTCATACTGGAAAATTCCCTGTGCTGGCACAAAGGAGATGGTAAATCTTGACTAGCTGATAATGATCCTGCTGAGAGTCTTCCTCATTGTGGGGAAGCCTGTGGTATATTTTGCTTGGCTAACATGTATGCTGATGTATCCAAGTCTCAGGGCCCAAGGGGATGGATAACAAACTTTTTATTTCTAAGGAAATATCATGAATGTGCCAGTTCTCTCAGAGAAGGATCATGAATTCGAAGTAGGTAACTAGCCTCTCTCTGTCACATGTTCACTTTTTCTGCTAAGGCAGATCTCACTCCTGACAAATGTCACTATACTTTACACGTGATCAGTTAGTGTACTTTATTTAAACCATAAGTGCTATGAAAATGTGCAAACCAAGCTTTTACCATATTTACATAATGTACACTGACAATTTACGCTTCACTTTACATTACTGTAAATAGTAATGTAAGTTTAACATTAACACAAGCTTGTTTACATGACTGTCGGAACCGATTTACAAAAGTGCCCTTAAACTCTTTCGAAAGCCTTCTACAGCAATGATCGATTTGTCTAAATCAGAGGATTTTATACACCCAACCCCACCCCTGTGCAGTAATAAACCACATGGAGGGCAGTGCGCAGCAATCAAACTGTTACAACAACACATGTGGAGCACAGTACTACCGTATGTGGTTTTGATGCCACATATTGTATTATACTGAAATGGTCAGCACTATCTTTATCTAGTCTAAAATTGGCCTTGGACCACAGTTTGAGAATCTCTGGTCTATGGACCACCGGTGGTCTGCGAGCTCCAGGCAAGTGGTTCACAGATAGTTCCCTCTAAGGTGCACGCCTGGGCGCCCGCATACAAGAGAATGAAGGGCCACCCACCTAATTAGTGGAGCCGCGCAGGCCTGGACCCTGGAGAAGATGCACATGTAAGGTGAGGTGGTGGCCTGGGGGGGAGGGGGGGGAATAGGGGGTAGGTGGGAGGGGGCAGTGGAGTGAGAAGAGGGGGTGGGACGAGCAGGGCTGTAGTGGCCAGAGAAAGAGGCGACTTTCCCCAGCTCCAGGGCTGCTGGGGGAGACGGCCCTCCTTCCCAGCCTCAGCTCTGTGACTGCTGTGGCAGGGGAGAGACTTCCCAGCCCCAGTTGGGGGGCTGCTGCAGCAGGGGAGAAAGGGCACATCCATCGCATTAGAAAGATAAGACTACTGATATTAAAACATGAGTTGTTGTGTGCTTTTATTTGTAGAACAAAAAAATCTTTATTATTATTAAGGTTTTTTTTATATAGCAATTTTATCCAAAGTGCTTTACAATAGTTAGTTAATGGTACAAACAATATTTGGAAATATCATTAAGTGGTCTGCCGAGACCCTCAGCAATTTTCAAGTGGTCCTCGAAAAAAATAGTTTGAGAACCACTGCCTTAGACAAAATACACTGTAATATAGGTCAGATTCTTAAACAACTGGGGTTTGTATCTTGCCAGGTTTCAAGACTTATGTCCACCTCTCTGTACATTTGGGTATAGATAAGCTAACCTTAATTTTCCTGATGCTCAGTTTATTGCACAAGACCAGCGTACAGCGGGTTGCCATTAAAAGCCTTTTGCTTTAGGTAATATTACCTCAGAACTTGTAATTATCGTTATACTTCATACTAAATATATCCAGGAACACGGCAATACTAGAGGTAACTTATCTAAGGCAATTGAAACTTTAAATGTGTCAAGAAATGTTATATTCCAAAAGAATTATATCAATAACACACATCAGTTGCGACTAATCCCAATCTCTACCTGTTTGCCTCAAACTTTCTCTCCCCACCCATCATAAGCCTCTTAAGAACTTTGTGCTTATGCTAATGATGGATGGGTAAAATTAATACCTCATCATTTATCTTTTTCTACAAAACTAGACTTCTCAATCACAAGGAAGGAGGCTGGACTGCTCACTTGGAAACATAATCCAGTCTGTATGCTTTAAAGTGGGAAAAAATAGCTTTACTTTATCAGATAACTAACTAATCATTAGCTTCTCCTGATTAAAGCCATCTACTGAGCATAGTGACTTTGTCCTTATAAGTATAGGGTGGGTTAGAATGAAGAGCATTGTGTAATCACAGATGAGAAATCCTTAGGATAGCAAAATGATCTCTTCCTCCTCTCCTCTTCCCCATCCTCCCAAATCCAGGTGTGCAATAGCTTTCAAAGGCTCATGGTGCTACCACAGTATCCAAGACCCTCCTACCAAAAGCAGTGTCCATCTGCTTCACCTAGTGTCTAGCAAATGAGTGACAAAATGAGCAAGCTGCTGCCTTGCAGATTTTTTTTTTAGAATATGAACGGCTTTTCTGCCCATCACATAGAGAAAAATCTTACAGGGAAGATCATTCTATTATTTACATTTATATTGCAGTACTGTCTAAAGGTTGGGCCCCACTGTTCTAGGTGCTGAAGTAAATAAATACAAATAGCTTTATGCTCCTATTTAATGCTATACTTTAGCCACTCTCTTGCTCTTGGGAGAGTCAGAACAAAGAGCCCTAGATTCCAGAGTTCTTGCCAGGTGGATCATAACAGCTCTGGCAGGTTCTAATGTGTACCAGGGTTTTTCCTTGGGATACTGAATATGCTGCAGAATGATGGCAGAACTCTCTCCCAAGAGCTGTAAAACAGTGCTAGTAGCTTTTGGTGTAAAAGCTTGGCCAAGGTGCTAGTCCCGTGTTCCTGAATGGGGAATCAAACATCTTCCTTGGCAAGTGACAAGTCTGGTCTTGTCTCCTCAACTGTAGTGGTGCAGGTCTGTCCAAGCTTCCCTAGCACAGCTTTGCCAGTGAACCTCAGGTCTCCTTTCAACATCCGGATTATCTCAAGACTGCAAAGATTAGTCCAGTAAACTGCATGGACAGTGATTTGTACAAATGAAAACTAGGATACCACCACAAACTAATTACAAATTCACACATTCAAAGATGAGAAGCTAGCAGCCTATATTAGGATGAGGTAGATGAGGCTTTCTTCGGACAACTGAAGTTCCCAGATCACAAGCCCTGGTTCTAATGGGGGACTTCAGTCACCCTAACATCTGCTAAGAGAGCAATATAGCAGTGCACAGACATTCCAGGAAGTTTCTGGAGAGTTGGGGACAACTTCCTGGTACAAGTGCTGGAGGAACCAACTAGGGGCCGTGCTCCTCTTGACCTGCTGCTCAGAAACAGGGAAGAAGTGAGTGGCAACTTAGGCAGCAGTGACCATGAGATGGTTGAGTTCAGGATCCTGACAAAAGGAAGAAAGGAGTGTAGCAAAATATGGACCCTGGACTTCAGAAAAGCAGTCTTAGACTCCCTTAAGGAACTGATGGGCATCCCCTGGGAGGCTAATATGAGGGGGCAAGGAGTCCAGGATAGCTGGCTGTATTTTAAAGAAGCCTTATTGAGGGCACAGGAACAAACTATCCCGATGTGCAGAAAGAATAGCAAATATGGCAGGCGACCAGCTTGGCTTAACAGTGAAATCTTCGGTGAGCTTAAACTAAAAAAAGGAAACTTACAGGAAGTGGAAATTTGGACAGATGACTATAGAGGAGTATAAAAATATTGCTAGAGTATGCCGGGGTGTAATCAGGAAGGCCAAGGTACAACTGGAGTTGCAGCTAGCAAGGGATGTGAAAGGTAACAATAAGGGTTTCTACAGGTATGTTAGCAACAAGGTGGTGGTCAGGGAAAATGTGGGACCCTTACTGAATGGGGGAGGCAACCTAGTGACAGATGATGTGGAAAAAGCTGAAGTACTCAATTTTTTTTTTTTTGCCTCGGTCTTCACAGACTAGGTCAGCTCCGGACTGCTGCATTGGGCAACACAGTATGGGGAGGAGGTGAGCAGCCCTCAGTGGTGAAAGAACAAGTTTAGAAAAACTGGACATGCACAAGTCCATAGGTCCAGATCTAATGCATCTGAGGGAGTTGACTGATGTAATTGCAGAGCCATTGGCCATTATCTTTTAAAATTTGTGGTGATCAGGGAGGTCCCGGACGATTGGAAAGAGGCAAATATAGTGCCCATATTTAAAAAAGGGAAGAAAGAGAACCTGGGGAACTACAGACCAGTCAGCCTCACTTCAGTCCCCGGCAAAATCATGGAGCAGGTCCTCAAGGAATCCATTTTGAAGCACTTGGAGAGGAAGTTGATCAGGAACAATCAACATGGATTCACTAAAGGCAAGTCATGCCTGACCAACCTGATTGCCTTCTATGATGAGATAACTGGCTCTTGGGACATGGGGAAAGTGGTGGATGTGATATATCTTGACTTTAGCAAAGCTTTTGATACGATCTCCCACAGTATTCATGCCAGCAAGCTAAAGAAGTATGGATTGGATGAATGAACTATAAGGTGGATAGAAAGCTGGCTAGATTGTCGGGCTTAACAGGTAGTGATCAATGGCTTGATGTCTAGTTGTCAGCCGGTATCAAGCGGAGTGCCCCTGGGGCTGGTTTTGTTCAACATCTTTATTAGTGATCTGGATGATGGGATGAACTGCACCCTCAGCAAGTTCGCAGATGATACTAAGCTGTGGGGAGAGGTAGATATGCTGGAGGGTAGGGATAGGGCCCAGAATGACCTAGACAAATTGGAGGATTGGGCCAAAAGAAATCAGATGAGGTTCAACAAAGACAAGTGCAGAGTCCTGCACTTAGGAAGGAAGAATCCCATGCACCGCTACAGGTTGGGGACCGACTGGCTAAGCAGCAGTTCTGCAGAGAAGGACCTGGGGATTACAGTGGATGAGAAGCTGGATATGAGTCAGCAGTGTGCCCTTGTTGCCAAGAAGGCCAACAGCATATTGGGCTGTATTAGTAGAAGCATTGCCGGCCGATCGAGGGAAGTGATTATTCCCCTCTATTCGGCATTGGTGAAGCCACACCTGAAGTATTGTGTCCAGTTTTGCCCCCCACCCACCCACCACTACAGAAGGGATGTGGACAAATTGGAGAGAGTCCAGCGGAGGGCAACTAAAATGATCAGGGGGCTGGGGCACATGACTTACAGAGAGAGGCTGAGGGAACTGGGCTTATTTAGTCTGCAGAAGAGTGAGGGGGGATTTAATAGTGGCCTTCAACTACCTGAAGGGGGGTTCCAAAAAGGATGGAGCTCGGCTGTTCTCAGTGGTGGCAGATGACAGAACAAGAAGCAAAGGTCTCAAACTGCAGTGGGGGAGGTCTAGGTTGGATATTAGGAAACACTATTTCACTAGGAGGGTGGTGAAGCACTGGACTGGGTTACCTAAGGAGGTGGTAGAATCTCCATCCTTATTTAAGGCCCGGCTTGACAAAGCCCTGACTGGGATGATTTAGTTGGTGTTGGTCCTGCTTTGAGCAGGGGATTGGACTACATGACCTCCTGAGGTCTCTTCCAACTCTAATATTCTATGATTCCATATATGTATACATGCACACACACACACACACACACACGCTTGCCTTTCATTTCCATTTAATACAAAATGCATCTCAAAACACTGACAAACAATAAAACTGCAA